TGAGGGGTGGCTGGCGGGAGCCCTCGAGGGGCAGCAAGTCCCACAGGGTGCTGCTGGGGCTGTCGCGTGGCTCCTCCACCGTGCTGTAAGGCAAAGTTGTGGCGGAGGCCACGGGGCTGATGTTGACGATGCACAATGCTGCAGCCTCGTCCACGGGGCTGCTGCTGCTGCTGCAGCCAAAGTAACGGCCCTGGCGGTAGCCAGTGGCACGGGCTCCCCGGTGGCCCTGCCCCATGGGCCGGGGGCGCAGTGAGACCCCCTTGTGCCAGATGGGCTCCTCCTCCTCGGGCAGCTGGAGGTGGGGCTCAGGCTGCGGCCCCAAGGGGTCCCGCTGCAGGTACGGCTCTGGCTTGGCGTAGGGCAGCACCCCACAGCCGCTCTCCTGCGGCCGCGTGTTCGTCTCCACCACGAAGCGCCCATCGGGGCCGCGGCAGATCCGCTCCAGGGGCACGTGCTCCCCGACGTGGCTCTCGTACACGGCGTACCGGGAGCTGGCCCCAGCAATGCTGAGGCCCAGGCTGGTACCGGCCTTCTCGCCCCACAGCAGCGTCCGGCGCAGGCTCCGGTAGGGGGATGGCTGCAGCTTCAGCTTCATGGTGCTGTCTGGGCTACCAGAGCCACGAGAATTGCTGTAAGGGAGAACTGCTGCAGCACCCTGTCTGGACTCCAGGCTTGTCCTGCTGCCCCCTGTGTGGGGAGAGCTTGTGCTGGGCATCTGGCAGTGGGTACCGTGACCCTGCGCCGCTGCTTCTGCACTTTCTAATCCTTTCTTCAGCCAAAACTCCCCAGGGGAGCCCTATGCCATAGCACCCCCCGGCCCCAGCACCCCATCCTAACACCACCCCTGTGGCCAGCCCTCGGCCAGTGGTGGGGAGCAGCTGCCCCCGGGCCTGTCCCTCTGCCCCCAGCCAGAGGCAAATGAATGATGGGGAGCGCAGCGAGACAGGGAGGGAGTGGGAGGAGGAGGGAGCGTGGCATGGCATGACTTACTGTGGAAGTGAAAGCTTCTTGCTGGGGGAGAAGACGAGTGGTGGATCTGGAAGGTCATGAGAACACAAGGGGATCACACAGCGAGCAACTCAAAGTGATGATGATGAGGAGACAGCAGCACGTGCTCAGCCCTACCACAACCCCAGGCTGGCCTGTCCCTTCCCCCGGCACCGGGTCCCGCCACCGCGCACACAGCGCTCCGAGCTCTCCTGGAGCACCGGGGTCCTGGCACTCAGCCAGCTGGCTCCTACCTTGCCTTCGCTTCTGGATGCGGGCGGCACGCCGGCGGTTCATGATGCAGGCAGCCACGGTGCTGAAGATGACAGCCACGCTGAGGAAGCAGATCCCCCCGATGACCCCGGCCAGCACCGGCTGCGGCAGGAGCTCCGGCAGTTGGGTGCGAGACGGATACACCTCCATGCCTGGGTCAGACAGGAGACACTATCAGAGGCTCAGTTCCCCGAGGAGCTTGCCAGCACAGTGGGCACAGCCTCCCCCGGGTCGCCAGGATCACGGTGGCAACAGCGAAGCCTCAGCGCTCCCAGCCCTCAGGGCTGGTCTGTCTTTGGGCAGACCCATGCCCTCCACCAGGAGCAGGGATGCTCTGCGTCCCCTGGTCTAGCAGCAGGGACACTCGGGGTGGGAGCAGGGTGAAGGGGTTTCTGTTTGGAAAGATCCTAGACCACACTGAGTACTTTACACCTCTGGTTTCTGTCCTCAGGGCAGGAAGAGCAAGTGGGAGGTAGCCCAGGCCTCACCTGCTGTGGAGATGTTCACCGTGTTGCTGGGATCGCTGATGTAGCTGCCAGCAAAGGCCACCAGGCGGAACTCGTAGAAGGCGTCCTGGGGGAGCAGAGGGCCATTAGCCTTGTTGGAATGCTGGCCAGCCAAGCTTCAGCCCACACGGAGGCAGAGCCAAGCAGCTCTGTGGCACTGCCAGATGCCCCATCTCCGGGTAGCAGCAATGCAGATGTAACCCCCCTCCCTTTCTGTGTCCCCTCAGAGCTGCCCCGCAGCCAGGGAGCACCCGGTGAGATTCCCACCTTGATGAGTCCCGGCACCAGGATCTGGGTCTCTGTGCTGGGGATGGAGCGGTCCAGCACCTCCCAGCCGCCCTTGTCCTGCCGCAGCTCCAGCGCGTAGCCGCTCAGCGCCACTGAGAACTGAGCCGGGGGCTCCCACTGCAGCAGGACCCCACGTACGGTCTCGTTGGCCGTCAGAGCCCGTGGCGGGGACAGGAAGATGCGCATGGTCATGGCCGGCGGCTCTGGAGGCACTGTGGTCACTGGGAAGCCTGAGGAGAAAGGAGACATTGGTGTGGGAGCTGATCCCCGGGGGCAGCAGGGCAGAAACAGGAACCTCTCAGGTGCTTGAGGGCTTGGCTGGGGGGGACGGACGAGGGCTATTCTGGAGAGCGCACGGGCCCCCTCTTACCCTTGGGCACAGAGGTGACAATCTGGCTGAAGGGGCCGCTGCCCAGCTTGTTCTGGGCCAGAACGCTGAACTGGTAGCTCATGTCTGGCTGCAGATTCTCCACCACGAGGTGCTGAGCCCCCACTGGCACCGAGAGCGACACCCAGTCATGGTGGGCTCGGGGCGGATGCTTCACCCTGAGGAGATGTGGGACCTGTGAATCTGGAGCCAACAGCCCCGGTGGGATGGAGGCAGGGGGGGGACACCAGGTTCTGCCTGTGGGGACTCACAGCGGCGTGTACCAGACGCTGAACCTCTGGAAATAGCCTCCATCGAACCCTGGCTCCCAGGAGATGTTGGCTGCCCGCAGCAGCGGGAGCACAGAGACGTTGGTGACAGCGTGAGGGCTGGTACCTGGCGGGGGACGCAAAGACGTGTCAGACCGGGCAGCAGCCATGCAGGGGCACTTCCACCCCAGGGCAGACGCAGGCGATGCCGGCCCCGCCAGGGACCGGCGACTCACCCAGGACATGGACGGAGGTGGCGGTGCTGACACTGGCTACCTGGTTGGTGGCCACGCACTCCCAGACCCCGTGCTGCTCTTTGACAAGCGGGCGGAAGACAAGGCTGCTGTTGCCATCCACCTGGGCGCCGCTCTTCCCCACGCTGCCCACCTGCGTGATAAGGCACGGGCAGGCTGACGGCGGGCGACCACCCAGCCCACCGCACCGCAGGGCCGGGCAGCTGCTCTGCAGCGACCCTGCAGCACTGGGGCCTCGGGGAGAACAGAACCTGACGTGATCCACCACCCTGGGGCTGGGTTAGGAACAGGTGCAGGATCTTGCCCTGGTTTCTTAGAGGGCAACACAAGCAAAGTGCCCTGGGCCTCTTCTCCCACAGGAGCCAGGAGAGAGATAACCCTGCTGTGTCTGCGGGGACGGCCCCAGGAGCGATGCCCCAGAGGTCAAGGGCAGTGTCTGCCTCCCGGGAGGGCTCTGCTGGTTCCCCAGAGCAGCAGCTCCTACCTTCAGCCAGGCAACAGTGGGCGGGGGATCCCCGTGGGCCGTGCAGGGGATCACCAGCTCCCGGCCCACCTCCTGGAAGTATTCCTCCTTGGGGCGCATTGTGAAGGCAGGGGGGTCCTGGAAGACAGGCAGGGCTTGGCAGCAGGCGGGACAGGGCACAGACCCGTGGTGGGGCAGACGATGGGCACGGCAGGGTGGGAGCAGCCTGGGCGCAGGCAGCGTGCCCATCACCCAGCCTCACCTTCAGCAGGACACGCGTGGGCCGGGAGGTGCCGGCGGTGCCGTAGCTGTTGTACGGGGTACACGTGTACACTCCCAGCGCATCGTCGTTCCCCGTCGCAATGACAATGGAGCCATCCGGTCTCATGGACCAGCCAGGGAGCTGGGAGAGGGGGGCGTGGGGTCAGGACAAGGGGCTCGGGGGCGTGGGGAGGCGGGGAGGGCGCGACCGGTGGCACCTTGTCCAGCTCCAGCGGGCGCCCGTCCCTCGTCCAGCTGACAGAGAGCAGGGGGGGGTTGGCCCTGGCGGGGCAGTGGATCACACCCTGCATCCCCTTGGGCAGGGGGGTCTCTGGGAGCATGGTGGTCACCTGTGCCGGATCTGCAAGGACAGGCAGGGTGCCAGGGCCTGAGCGAGGGTGGCGGGGGGCCAGGTCCCCGTGGCTGCTGAAGGGGCAGCCCCTTCCCACCATGGCCCACAGGGACCCCCACAGGCTGGCCCAGCAGGGCCTTTCTGTGAGCAGAGCTGGTGACAGCACGGCCTGGGCTTGCGAGCGGCTGTGGGACTCTTACACAGCACTGTGACAAAGGCTGAGGCAGAGGGTGGCTTCCACAGCCCGTTGCTAGGGATGCAGGTGTATTTGCCAGCGTCGTCCGGGGTCGTTCGCTGGAGCAGCAGACTCCCGTCCACCAGGACACGGACCCGAGCCTGGAGGTGGCTGCAAGGGGAGGGGAGGGCAGTGGTGAGAGGTGCCTCCGAGACTGTCTGTCCTCAGAACCCCGTGGTGAGCAAAGCCCCCGCCACGCATCCCGCCCGCCCACCGTGCTCAGATCCCGGCTTCGCAGGGCACAGAAGCCCCTGCCCGCCCCAGCACCGCCAGCAGGAGCCCATGGCTGCCTTGGTGCCATCCCCGTCCCCACTGTACCTGAGGTGGAAGACGTTGCTGCTGCCCTGGAACCAGGTGTAGGTGAGGTTTCCTGGGTACGCCTCAGCTTGGCACACCAGAAAGACATCCTGGGAGACGTTGACGGTGACATTCTGGGGTGGCACCACGATGATGGGTGGCCCTGCAGCGTGGAGCAGAGGTGATGGTGAGGGTGGGGGATGGCCCCACCTGCTCCCAAAGCCCATCACACCCATGTCTGCCCCAAAACCAACCCCCATGACGTGTCTCCCTCCGTGCTCTGTGGCAGCACCCAGCTGGGTGGCCCATGTGGCCAGCGCTGGGAGAGCAGCGGCTCCTACCCTGCACGAGCACGCGGGTGGTATGGGTGATGGTGCCCTCCTTGCTGGATGCGTGGCAGGTGTAGGTGCCAGCACTGGTGCGCTCCACAACGGCGATGCTCAGCGTCCCGTTCCTCACCTGCAAAGGCAGCGGGCGTGTGGCATGGCCAAGGGACAGGAACTCAGGACTGTGGTGCTGCGGGCAGGGCCGGGGGCAGGAGGGGGGTTCCACCACAGTGGGGACAGTTGCTCGTGCTCCAGCCAAGCAGAGTTGCATTGCTCTGCACATCTGGCTGCCCCACGAGACCCTGGCGAGCGTTAACTGCTGATTTCCACCCTCACCTGCACCGTGTCCCCGCTCTGGACAGCCAGGTCGCTCCTCTTCCAGATGACAACGGGCTTGGGGTTGCCGGCAGCTGTGCAGGTAAGGCTCAGTGCATCCTGGTCCCGCACCTCCACGAATGCAGGGGGGGTCTCCAGGAAGGTGGGGGGTGCTGTAAAGACAAGCCCAGACCCTCAGCCGCAGCTCCAGATGAACTGCCCTTGGAAGAGCAGCAGATTCAGTCCCAGCCCTGCGAGATCTTGGCCAGTGGCGGGCAGAGCAGCGCCCGGGGGTGGGATCACCAGTACCGTTGACAGTGAGGTGGATCCAGGTGCCGTTCTGGAAGTCGGCGTCGGTGCTGTGCCGGTCAAGGAAGAGCACACGGCACTCGTACCAGCCTTGGTCCTCGGCACGCAGGAGGTCGATGCGCAGCGAGGCGCCTTCCTCGATCCGCACGCGACCTGCACACCCAGGAGCGGCTGTCACAGCTGCGTCCCCCGGCCACCTGCCCTCCGGGGGCCTGCCAGCAGCACTCGCCCTCGCTGCAGGCTCAGCAGCTTCCCCGGGCAGTGGCAGGGTCTGCCCGTGCAGCCAGGCCATGCTCAGACTTCTTCCACCTTTGCTGGCGCGATGGGGGGCTGGGAACGGCCGTGGGACAAAAGCCAGGGCGGCCGTGCCGCGGTGGAGGTTGGTCACACCGACATTTAGCACCACACCTCCTCCTGCTCTCGGGGAAACGGGACAGGACGTGGCAAAGGGCTCTGCTGCCCACCCCCGCCAAGGGTGGTCTTGGCGGGGACCCCAGGTGGGTCTGTCCACCGCGAGCATTGCTCCCAGCAGCTGGTCCCACTGCCCGCTCCTCAAGCTGCCAGCCTGTCTGCAAAATCCCTCCCCGCACACTTCCTCATTGCCTTTTGGGGACCCTTCCCCAGCAGCCTCAGCCACCCTTTCCCCCAGGAGCCCCACTAAGCTCCAGGCACCCTGCGCTGTCCCCTCTCCCCACAGCACAGGGGGGTCTAGCTGAACCCCTGCCTGACCCGCAGGGGCACAGACCCCTCGAGGGGCACACGGCAGCAGGGGTGCTCTGGGGCCGTGGGACCCTCACCCCGAGTAGACAGCAACCCTGTGTTCCACGGCCTCTTTGATGAGGAGGAGGATAAGGGCGCAAAGCGACAACGAGCACAGCCCTTTAATCCCCTGGGCTATTATCAGAGCCATAATCGGCTCAGGCGTGCAGCAAGGCAGTTGGCTCAGCCCCGGCCGGGGTGCACTGCCTGCGGCACCCACTGCCCTGGCACCCCCCGGCTCTGTGCCCCTGACCCCGCTGCTGGCCTCCACGGCCCAGAGAGCAGCTCCAGGCCGGGATGTGGGTTTAGCCCCAGGTGTGGCATGGCCTGGGGTGGCCTTGCTGCCAGCACTCCAGGGCAGGGCTCCAGCCGCTGTGCTGGCAGTGCCACACACAGCTCCTGGCACCAGAGTGGTCCGTGACGCTCCCGGTGACTCCCCAGAGCTCCCTGGGACCAGCCGCTTCCGGACACATTTCCAACAAAGCAGGTTGTGCCAAACCCTGCTGTCAGCTCTGTGCAGAAGCTTGGTGCCGCAGGCAGTCTCCACGCGCTGCCTGAGCCACTGGAGCCCAGGCCGGGCACTGCATGGGTGCCACCAGCAGCAGGAGGCTGCACCCCGCCAGACCAGCCTGGTGAGGAGGAGGAGGAGCGGCAGGGCCCGGCCGGCTGGTTGGGGCACAGAGGCTGGGCGGCCGAGGGACAGGATCCCATGCCGAGCGCTGGGGCCACACAGCCCCGTGCTCACCCAGCGCACAAACACGTGCGAATCTCTGCCAACAGCACCCGGAGCTTCCTCCAGCCGCTGCAGCCACCGCTGCATCCCCCACCCCTCCTGCTTTGCCCCAGGCCAGCTCCGACCCAGACCCACGGCATCTCCTGCCGCAGGATGCGCGGGGACAGGCAGACATATCTGGGTGCCTCTGGCAGCGTCCCTCACCCGGGTGGGGGAAGCAGTGAGAGGGGTGGCAGCAACAACCAAACAGCCACGGGAAGCGGGGTCCTCCCCCCCTCGGCCCCGAGCCCGCTCCCACGCCGAGCCCTGGGAAGCAGGGCAGCTCCAGAGAGCTCCAGGAAACCCCATCCCTGCCTGCAGCTGCCAGCTCACAGCCCCCAGGAGCCGGTGGGAGCAGCAGGCTCCTGAACAAAGATCCCTTTGGAAGGGATCAGAGTGCCCTGGGGACGCCCCTCAGCCTCCCCCTAATCCCCCGTGCCGGCCCCATCCCCCTCCTCCTCTTCCACCACCCTGCCGATAACAAAACCTCTGCTGCCCTCCGGACCAGCATCCCCCGGTGCCTGGCAACCGTCATTCAGAGGGACACAAAGGGGCTGTAGCCCCAGCCGCCGTGCTTGCCGTCAGGGATGGGGTGCCCGCGCAGGCGGCCTGACCAGCATCACCGGCCCTGCTCCAGGCCAGCAGACGGCAGGGGACAGGACCTGTGACACCGTGGGGACAGCGGCACATGGGGGAGGGCTGCCCCCATCCCCCCAAGAGCTCCCAGAGGTGGCTGCAGCCACCCTGTCCCCAGGGTGGCTGCAGCCACCCTGTCCCCAGGATGCCCCCAACTGCCCCACGAGGGATGTGGGTGACAGCAGCAGCCCCCCGGCCCCTCGGGGTGACCCTGATCTGCTCTGCCTGGGAAGGGCTGGAGGAGGGGCTGTCCTCGTCCTTCCCCTGCACCCACAGCCCCTGCCCTTCCCTCCACCCCTTCCCAGCCCCCCAGAGGACTGTAAACCAGCCGTCCCGCTGCCATGGTGACGGCCACCAGCCCCCCTGCCCACCGACCTTGCCCTCATTATAGCTGCCAGCCCCCTTCCCCCAGCGCTGATCCCCTGCCCCCCAGCCCCCCCGGGGCCGTGCTGGCAGCAGGGACAGGGAGAGGACTGAGGGCAGTGCAGGCAGGAGCAGGCAGGATATTGCCAGGCCCCTTCAGGGTAACCCGAACTCTTGCAGCCGAGGGGCCCCACGATGCCGGGCTCAGGTAACAGGAGCCCAGCCCGGGCCTCCCAGGAAAGCAGGTGCCTTGTCGTCACCAGAGGGTTTGCGGTCACCGCCGCTCCTACAGTGCCAGCTCAGGGCTGGCTGCAGAGCAAGGGTGTCCCTGGGCTGGCAGCGGGGACAGACCCAGGTGTGCCCCCAGATCAGTCTCCTCCTGCACAGCCCCGGGAGCAGCAGCCAGGCAGTGGCTCAGACAAGGGCTGGTTTTGGCAGCAGGGACGGGCTCCTGACCCAGGCACAGGCCGGTGCTCCAGCCCTCCCCGCGATCTCATGGGAGGACTGGAGGGAGGATTTCGGTGCATTGCTGCCACAGGCTGTTGGGGCCAGGCTCAGCCCAAAACTCCAGCCAGCTGCCAGCCCTCTCCCTCCTCCCTAGCTTCCCCATCCTCGAGGGATGCTCCTGTTGTCTTCATCTCCCTGTGTGCAGGGATCCCTCAAGGTCTGACACCACTTCACTTTAAATATCCCGTAAAGAGGAGAATATCCCCCTCCCACGCCGCAGCCCTTCCCAGCACAGCTTTGCTCCAAATCCCAGTCAGCCCAGCGATGCCAATTAGCTGCTTCACCAAAATCCCCTTCCCAGGCTCAACCTTCAAGCGACCCGCTGGGGCCGAGGCAGCGGCCTGGCAGCACTGGGGACCCGGAGCCCGGGCACAGGCAGGCAGGCGTGGGGCCGCCCCGTTCCCAAGCGGGTGGTGCTGGGGGAGCCCCAGCACCCAGAGGCCACCGATGGGACCCACTTTCCCCGGGCGGCCTCTCCCACCCTCCGCCCCAGCAGGGACCCCTCCCGCTGCCAGGCTGGGCCAGGAGCCGCCTCTCCCCTGCGCACTGGGTACCCGCATCCCCTGCACCTCCCGCTCCAGCCGTCCCCGCGGCTGCTGCACGAGGAGGGGACTCCCCGGGGGCCCACAACACCCTCTCCCGCCGCCCGGGACCAGAGGGAGAGTCTGGCGCTGCCCCGTGCCCGGGAGCGTGATTAACGCGGTCTGACAGCGGCTGAGGCCCAGCCAAGGCCAGCGGGGACACCAGGGCCAGCCGGGTCCCAGCCCCGAGGCCGGGGCCAGTAGGGCCCCCCCGGGCCCCATCACAACCCACGCCGCAGGACCTACCGACGTACTCCGGGTCCACCCGCGGCGAGTAGAGCCCGAACTTGATGAAGATGGGGAGGACGAAGCCGAATCGGACCCACTCGATCACGTAGAGAGGGGGACGGGCCTCGTGGGCGCCCAGGAGGCCGCAGCCCAGCACCGTGCTCCCCC